TGTTACTTGTTTTTACGGATACTGTGTACTTCTTCAACGTTATATATTTTTATGTAAGTACTATTTTTTTATAATTTTTTTATGTAATGTTACCGGCTTTTAGTAACATTTGCAAGTATTTTAGAAAAATTATTGGTTCAACACTAATAACAAAATAATTCATTTTAAACAAAATTAAAAACTTGGCTAACAGATATTCGCTCCCCCCCTTCCATGGGCCTACAGTACAACACAATATATTAAAATTATTATTTACATACAATTTATCAGTTATATCTTACCTGTAAAATATACAGTTATATTTAATGCAAATGATGCAGATTTACTAACAAAAGAAACAGCTACAAATTAGCGTGCCGAAGCAACAAATATGCAATAGATTAATTTTGTAGTATAGTGCGGAAAAATATCGAATTTATAATGCAAGTACTTATAGGCATGTTTTTTTTTATCAAAAAATAATTATTGTATAAAAAAATTAGGTCGAATATGAATTATAAAAATCCTACATTGCGTTAAAATGATTTTGAAATATATAAAGAGCTGCTGAAACTTAATGTAATTTAATAAAAAAGGGGTAACAGATGATGTTTTTGGAAAGGGTTGCAGATGGCAGCTCTGCAGGACTCGGGGCGTATTCCTATTATCCCGTACATTATCCTTCAGGATGCAGTCGTTAGTATATAGTTATACCCGTAGCGATCCGCTCGTGATAATTACGTTGAAATAAATTTGAGTAAATTCAAAAATGTGAAAAAACTAATTGTATTCCGACATTAATAAATAATAATGCCGTTTTGGTTAGACTATTATGCTTAGTAGTTGTTGTGGGTGTATCAAAAAAGAAGACGAAACAAAAGTGGATAACAAAAAAAATCAAAAAGGAAGTGGCAGTGTGTCGACTAGGAAGTTATCGCACTCGAAATGCCTTGACGATGATTCGGAAATCAAGGGTAACAGTGCGAATGATAACAATAAATTGCACCATGCTGTATTAACGAACGGTAACGCAGTTGAAACGAAAAACGCAAACAACGAACAAATAAAAATCGAAATTTTGGAAACTCCGACAAACAATGGAACGGAAATGGCCGTTTCTGAAGATATAATTAAGCCAAGTCCCGTTAAAAGTATAATGAAACGAAAATTATCAACAGATGCTGTAACAAACCAACCAAAACTATGCTCAGATTTAAAACGACATTCGTTACATGTTTTCACTTTGGAAGAACCAGACGATGATGTTTTCGAAGACGGGGTGACACCGTCGGCAAACGTTTCCAAAAATTTGGGAACCCCATACCCCTGTAAACGGGAGCAAATTCCTCTACCTCGATGGTTTTCAGAGGAGGAAGACAGCGTGCAACAGGAGATAGGTGGTACTTGCGAGCCTCCTGCTACACCTATAGGAAGAGACGAACTTGCTCTAAAGAGGCATAGATTTTTTTCAGAACTTCTAAACGCTGCACGAAGTGCCGAGGAGCACAGAGTTCGATTTGACCCTTTAGGACCAGTAATTGCCGGCGGTGAGACAAATAGATTTTTTGTGTCAATTATTCTACCTCAGTGTTAAATTATTCTTCAAGCTTTGCATGGCACGATCATTTTTATTAGTTTGATGTGATTCATATAACTTTCCAATACTCATTTTATCATCAAATCATTTCTTGTATAAAACAAAATATACGGAAAATTAATCCAATTGGAAATTTAAATAGTTTCAACTAGTTAAGGAAGCCGTGGTTCGCAAACAGGTAAAAAGGCGAAAATAATGACGCGAAATCAATAAAAAAAAAAAAAAATAAACGTTAAGCTGCATTAAATTAAAACAAACGAAAAATTGTTAAAAGATTAATGCAGTAAATTTGCAAATATTGAATTAATATTTTACATATTATTTCCTTCTTTAAATAAAAACCCAAACGTAGTTTATATTTTAATATTTTAGTGTAACTGAAGTAGGTAGTAGACGAATGGTCGACAAGGAATTATTTATATGATGGTCTCCTAGAGCCTAGAGTATCAAATATTGCCATATGTTCAACTTATCTAATAAAAATACAATATTTTATCATAACTGATAAGATGATTGCTGTAATCTCCGCTATTCCGTGAGTTTTATTTTTAGACGACTGCAAAACGTTCCGGAAAATATTTTAAATTTTTAATAGCGTTTATGTCAGAATTAAAGTTGTTTTGTAAGTGATGACAGAGTGGAATAGTTATGAAAAATAAATCCTAGTCCTACAAGGTACACTTACATAATATTAATAATCACTTATAGACAACATCGAAATCAAACGATTTTAAACAGATACTGTTTCACTTGCTTACGAATGCACTAAGTAAAGTAATCGTAAGTTATTTCATTTGGCACTAATTTCACATTATAAAAATAATGCTGAACCTTAATATTACAGCATTAATAACAACTTTAATTAACCTTATTTGAAATATTAAAATTTACCAGTAAAAGAACATAACTGATGAAAGATATTTAATTAAATAAGTTTGATCATATTATGTTCTCAAAATATAGGTTCATCAATTTGGTATGTTTATTAGTGTTCCTATAACTATAAATATGTATGCCAAGGGATTCCAAAAATAAGGTATTTGCTCATCTAAACAAATCCGACTGATATTTTCAGTTCAGATTCTTATAGCGAAAAGAAATGATGCTTTTATAAAGTGTCCAACTTTTAATATAAAAGGTACGTTAGTGTTGAATTTTATCATTTTAAAGCCCTATTCGTGATTTCGATGACTTAAAAATACTTCATAAACTGTATCATACTTTTTAAATAATGAATTTTTCAGTTTGCTAACTATTCTGATAACGATTAGTCATAAGTAGATGAGACAATTATTTAAGAAATAGTAAATTGTCAAATTATTTAAACATAGGTAATATCGCTTAACGAACCTTTATTAGTGTTGCTACCGGTAATCATTGGAAATGATATTTATTATTGGAGGCGATGTTTATAGATAGGTAATTTTCGAACAATATATTATTTTATTATTAGATCATATTAGTTAAAAAATTATTAATGTATTATTTTAAATATTTTTGCATATTTAAATGTTGTCGATATATTACTACAAGGATTTCCTCTGTAATTTAATTATAGAAAATACCTACCTATAGTGCCTAGTTAATAGTTACTAATATTAATATTTTCTTTGCATTATGCCGAAAGAAAATTGCCTGCATCCTTACTTTTTGAGTCACCTTGCCTGCCTTTACTTTGTTAATCATCACATCAGTCATTTACAATCATATAGATAATTAGTAACCAGTGCTGTATTTTATATGATTCCATCAATAAAAAATGTTTTTCACCGGTGTGTAAAATAGTAATACTACACATCATTCACGGCCACTCATGAATCATCTGTACGATGGGTTGTCTAATTGTAAATGTAATTTTCACCTAC